GTGAATTACTACTTGAAGTTGCATGCAGTTCGCATTTAAGTATACCGCCAGGCCAACTAATAAGTGTACATACATATTCATATATATATATATGTTTGTAAGTCTTGTGTGTATGCGCTTACTAATGCATGTATGTGCAGCTGCATATATGTGCTTCTCAGATGCTAACCCAATGCAATTGCAGAACATGTAAATATTGACTTTGCTGGCAGCCATAAATTACCAATATACACAGGTAAGCACAAGTGTCTGTATATGCAAGCAGGCGAGGTAGGAATTCGCGACCAGCGTAGCCGGAAAGCATTTTCAAATTTGCTGCTATTTATGTATGTATTAGTGAAGACATAAATTGTTGTATCTACAATATTGACGACAGTGCAAAATTGCAAGCTTGCATCTGCAACATACTTATATCCAATGTACAATTATTCATATGAAGAGAATTTTACTGACTTGCCTGAAGCGAAAATTCAGTTTTTGTTTTTAAAAGCTTCAGACGTGATTTCCATGCTCCTAACATTTTTAATTTTGAGATAATTTACTGCAAGGCAGATGAGCTCCGCTGTTCAATTGCGCTCTAATCCTGGAGCCTTAGCGCTGGGCAACATCCAAAACTTGTGCGGCTAAAGTGGAGTGCAAGAGCTCGTCTGAACTAATTGCGCTTAGCAAGGTTTATCTCGCCGGCATGGTGGATTTTTTGAGTGAAAATCTTCCAATAAACTCACATGCGGGGAAGTTACATATCCTGTCGAATGTAAATTGCCAAAGCTGTATGGAATAGCGTGCAATTGAATGATCCATACGCTTTCGTACCAACTTTTCAGCGTTTGCCTGAATGAGATTCAAGCATCTTAGTAATCATACTTTTGGCCAATTTGGCAAAGTGGCTAGGACTGATATCAGCTGCCTTAACAAATTTGTCGTAGGCTCAAGGCGCTTTGTCGAACTGGTCTTAAGGTTTGGCAATCCATATCAGGCAGTTTTGGGCATTACAAAGAACCTTCATGCACAGCTCTCCAAGTAATATACCGCGTTAGCTTTGTAGCGTGATTTAACCCTACGACCTGAATTAAACTAACCATTAAACAGCGGACTTGATTATATTTCTAAGCTTTCCGCTATACGAAGTTGGAAACTGCCCTGTGGTGAGCCCACCATGTAACTCAATTCCTTTTTTCCCTAAAGTGAAAGCCTCTTGGTCTGCGCAGTATCCACACTAACCTGAAGATATTTTGTGCTGCCCTGTAATGGTAGTGTTCCAACACTTGAAGTATTCATCTAATAATCACTGCTTCAGGTAAACTTGAAAGAGCTGTATGGCCTGGGGCAACTTATGGGAACTGTGTTTCCGTCAACACTAAAGTAGGTCCACCTTATTGCAAACTTTTTATCATGAGAGTTAGATGAACTCTACTTAGTAATTGGAATTGGGCTCAATTAGAACGATTAATATTTCTGCAGAAATTGTGAATTGAATTCATTTCTAGAGTTTCCAAATTCTTTTTGCTTCAAAGCATATTCTATATATACTCAATGTTGTCTTATATTTTCGGATTTATTTTTACAGCCAAAAAGCAAAAGAAAACTAAAATACGAATGTGTCTGCTCCACTTTCACCAATTAGATACAACGATAAATTTTCAAATGGCAAAGCGAACCGCAATGCGGAAAACCGCGCTCAACTTCATTTTGGTCGAACCCCACGACAGGAGACTAAACAGCGGGCATGGCGCGGTCAATGGGTCAGTAATGAATTGCGTCGAATTGCCGTTGGTCATTCAGCGGCTTAGGCGCTTCAATGGTTATGCGGAGCGAAAATTTGTGGCACTAACCTATTTATGCGTACTTGTTTTTGTTGTTTGCTTCTTGTTTGTTTATGTACTTTCATTGGTTGGCAGCAGCCTTAAATAATTTTTCAGATAGCTAGGACTTAAACACAGACAGTTGGGAGGCATTTTATACAGTTTTAAAATATATATATGTATGGTATAGTATTATACAACTATTCGTTAATAAGTGAAGAGCTCTCGTTGGCTGTGTGTGAACGCTGTGCGCAAATGAGCGATCTGCTGAAGATGGCATGATGAATATGTATTTAAATAAATAATTACTTAACCTAATTTTCAACCAATTATATACAACACATACAATATATGTACAGATTTCCAGTTGTTCAAATGATGAGAACATAAAAACATATGAATGAATGAGGGCAATCCATTTTGGGTTGTGCGCATATTCATTAAAAAGCAAATATTTGAAAATATTCAAGGCTACAACAACAGGAGCGACGATGAAGATTAAAATCACAGAGCTAATGAAAGCTATGTGGCGCAATAATAAATAAATTAAAAGTAATTAGTTCAGCGCAGAGGCAACGTTTGAAGCAAAGAAGCAGCGCAGTCACGCGGGCAATGTAAAAGGACACATATTTTAATTATGCAACTATTCGTTGTGCTGAAGTAATTTATAAGCCGCTCGCTGAAAGAATCAAATTTTCAGCTTGCTACATAATTAAAATCGCCTTGGGTTAGGAATTTACTTATGTCGAATTAAGGTCAGCGAGTTTGTGCTGGCACTAGCTCATGGGTGTGGATTATTGAATTATTAAAAATACTTGTCCTTGAAGGCTGTGAATTGGGCTATGCTAACTTTACTCTCTAAGTGGGGTGTGGAGATAGAAATTTATGGAGCCGCAGAGATACTTTAGGATATCGTTTTGCTAACATTGCTAATTTGAGCTATGAACCTTATATGTCGGTAGATATTCCTACAAGTTGACAAAGTATATTGAATTTATTTCAGGTCGGCAGGGGGAACATACACAATCAGCTTGCTTTATTGTAATTTGATTAAAGCTTTGATTTTATTTGATTTTTTCTTCACCGAACTCATGGATGTAACTCTCTCAATATATCAACCTTGAAATACCTTCTTAAGTTGTTTGAAGTTCTCAAACAGATATGGTCACCTTAGATCGATGTGTTCTTCAATACATTACACAAAAACCTCTCCATCTTTCGTGTTTTAAAGCCTTTGTAAAACTGCAACCAATATTTCTTCGATTTCGCCTCGACTTTACAGGAAAGCCAGTTGAACGCCTTTCAATCACTACCGCTCAAGTTCGATTTCCAACAGCATCTTCCACTCTTTGCTTTGCTTCACAAGCAAATTGCTCACTCTCTCGCGCCACAGCCACACGCTGCTGCTAAACGCCTATCTTTTGACACAATGCAAATTCGTATTGAATTAAAAATTGAAGAGACTTTTAAAGAGAATCTTATAAGTTGTAGTACTTGAGTTGCACTCGTTGGCGCTTGAGTGCACTTCAGGGTAATTTACGTGCGGTTCAGCAGAGCGCCGAGCAAATCACAAAAGCGAGACCCTCAAACAACTTGACTGCGCTGAACTACAATGCTGTATGAGGCGTGAGGGAAGAAGTTGCCAAAGAAATCACGTTTCATCCCAAGAAAAAAAGGCCAATATGCGGTGGCACGAGTTCGCAGCCCGGGGGCGGTGGCAGAAAAGCACTCGCCAGCACTTGTGTGCGGGTGCTTGTGTTTGTGGCAACAAGCGGTGCTAGACAATGCGAGCTGCTGTAACGACACCCTTGAATAATAAACACTGCCAGTGCATGCGCTGTCTACTTCCATTGTTTTGGCTGTGCGGGCCCCACATGCAACCGTAATATAAACCAGCAACAAGTGCGAAATAACAACAAATGCTAAAAAACGAAACATATAAAATGTGACAACGATGCGCTCTGTCAGTTTCATGTGACAAAAAAATGTACAAAAAGACACATAAAACTGTAAAATTTCGGTTAGTTAGACAAGACAGCAAATGTGTGAAAAAATAATGTTTTGTGGAGCTCATGGTCGTTTAGTGTACTTGACGGTTGTCTAGTCTACTTTTAGGCGCACGACAGCAATGAAATGCATTTGCACAATGTTACTTTGCCTTTCTGTGATATTTTTGTCGAAATTATAACTGTTTTTGACATTAATACTTTGACGGTTGTTATATACAACACGAAAATCAGAGCTTAGTTTACTTATAATTTAATATTGCTGCGAAATGTTGGGACAAATTCAACATAAAATATATAATATTTGGTATAAGGTGGCTACTGAGTGAATTTCTGTCATATAAAAGCTGCTTCTGAAAGCCGTTAGCCAGGAGAAGCCGGCCCGAGATACATGTGTACAGTGGAATGAAAAGTTTGTCCTTCAAGAGAAGAGAAACTGATTGGTTTAAGTTTTTAAATTTGAACGAGAATTTTAGAAACCGTGGATAGGAATAAAATAGAATTAACAATTAGGTATGTTGACAAATGAATACTTTTAAAGCAGATCTTCTGACATGTAGTTAGGGCCGGAAGTTATGATCTGCAAAGTCTTACTGAGTTTTAGAACAGTTGTTCAAACATTTTCAGGTTTTTTATTGTAACATTTTTTCGCCGAAAATTTTCGCAGAAAAGTATGGTTTGAAGCTCATCAAATAGAATTTCCGAATTGTATCTCCAGCTGCTCATGAGCGGGTCATCTCGTCCGTCTTTTCATTTCCTTCTATTTCGAAAGGACTGGGTACCCAGCTGATATTAATTGAGTTATCCACTGAGAGTCTAGATATTGCTTCCATCCATAACCTAACCCCGTGAGACTTAGTACCGGCGCTACGGATAGCTTTTACTGCCGCTTGGCTCTTCACTAGAAAATGTGGGGACGTGGACCTACTGTTATGCCAAGAATTTCGTCCTGAAAGTCTGAATGGGAGACAAATAGTTTGAAGCTATCTTCTACGTATGAATTACTACAACAGAAGCCTGCTCCTGTTCCTATACCACCTGCATAAGAATTACACTAATTGGTTTCGGAGGTCTCAAGTCCAGCTTCTAACTGGCTTTCAGGCGCGAACCGTGTTTGAGAAGAACTATTATGTAAAATATTTAATATAATATAACAACATAGACAATAGTTGCGCCTAATTCGTGTACTCACCTCTAGCAGTTAAATTCACATATATCCATAAAAATATCCATGATGATTTTGTGGCTGTGAACGTTGTGGGTGTTGTGCTGGCAATCAGTGTTGTCAATGTGGTTAAGAACAGGCGCAACGTGGTGGCTACGTAAAATGCCGGCAAGCGTATAGCAGGCGTTGCAGCGAGCGTAGCCGATGAAGATGACGGCGTAACGTTTTTTGTTGCACTTTTATTACCATTCTTTGCTTGTTGTTGCACATGAGTCGCATTGCCGCTACAGCAACTTTTATTGCGGTACTTAAGAGAATCGCTAAGTTTTGGAAGTGTCTCACTAGCTGATGACATATACTTTTGCGCAGCAGTTGTGCGTGTCATCGTCGACAACTCTGCTGTTGTTGACATACTCTTGAGCATGTTGGGTTGTGTAGTTGCTGATATTGGCGCTGTGTCGGTTGCCATTATTGCTGGTTGTGCGTGTGAATCAGTTGAAGTTTTGTATGACTCCTGTTGTGCATTAGGTGTTGATACCGTTGATGAAGATGTGTTTGCTCGCTGTTGCTTGCTAGATGCGTCTAGACAATGAATTAGGTTTTCTGCACTATGAGAGTCCTTTCTTTTTCGACGCCGCCGCAAGCGTCTTTTTTTGCGTGTGCACAGTCTTTCAGTTGATTGCGGCCTTCTAAGATAGCTGCCATTTGGTTCTTGGTTATTGCTTATAATTATATAGTTGTTGTTCTTGTCAGGCCAGTCGCTTCTGCTACGCTTATTGCCAGCATTGTAACAATTTTTGCTACTCCGATTGCTACTGTGCTTTCGTTCAGCTTTTGCTGGGTTTCCAATTTCACCACTACAACTCGATGCAGGCCGCGAAGTGCTGTAACTTTTACTGCTTAAGCGCGACTCACTCTTGCTGCGCACGTTGCCACATACTCGCTTCATTTCACAACTGGCCTTCGCGTCTCCAAAGCTCAAATGATTGTTCCATGTACATGTATTGCTTTTGCATTTTGCGGCAGAGCTTTCACTTAAATGCAAGTTTTCTAAACTTTTAGTATGGTGAAAGCTTGGCGCATACACATGTGTGGCCACACCGTAGCTTTTCTTATGCGTGGCCAGCAGCTTTTGCCAATATGCGCTTAGTGCTTGCCATTCTCGTACGTTTGTGGTAGGCGAGGTTGCTTTAAAGCTGTGCTTGTTGCTTTTTCTACGAGTTTTGCGTAAAAAATGTAAATAAGTGATATTGCGTTTGCTGTTGCTGCTACTGCTGCTACTTTTCCTAATTCTAGGTTTCACGCTTTCACGGGTTCCTGCTCTTAGCTCTTGCAGCGCTGCACTTTTGCAGTATCTACTCACATGATGGCGTTTGTGATCGTCCTCGTCGTCGATCGACACCATTTTTTCGCATTTGCGAAGATTTATCGCTGATCTACTTCCTTGCAGTTAGTTACAGAGCTTTGATGTTGTCGCAAAATAAGCTTTCACTTTTGGTTGCAGCTTCAGTGCTTTGGTGCGCGTGCCTCAGTGCTGCATAAAATAATATTCGCGTTATTGCTGTATTTGGTACACTATGGTACTGTTTATAGCTGCCTAAGTTTTATGGCTAGTATTGAAATATTTTTTTTATTTTCTCCACTCTCAGTTTTTTTACTTATATTTCGAATGCATTTTTAGTAAATTATGCTTAGCTCTATTTTGTTATATTTTCTTCGGAGTTCCTTTTTTGTTTACTTCAATTACAACCCAAGAGTGTTATGTTGCCGCTCCTGCTTACAGTGTAGGTTTCCACATGTTTGCTTATAACTAATTTGTGCTGTTGCAAGTGTAGATTACTCTTGACGTTTAGACTTAAAAATACCAATGATCCAGTTTATTACTTGAAATTGCAATCAGTGGTTATCTATTAAATTTTTGTTTTAGGAATGTTGATGGCTGTTTTCAATTTTTTTATTTTTGTTTTGGATTAGGTGTGGGTTTGGTTATTATGATGACTTATTTTAGTACTCTTTGGATATTTTCTGTTTAATATTAATGCAATTATTGATTAGTTATGGCAGTGATCTGTACCATGGGGAACTGCAATGGGTGTAAACTGTAAGAAGAAGGAAGAAAAGGAATTTTCTTAAACTATTTTTTTTATATTGTATTGTTATTAGTTTTCATGTTTAAATTTGCAAGAATAAGTTACTCGGAGGTTAAATTCAGTTGAGAGGCCTAAAAACGTGAATTTTTTAAAATAGAAATTTAATTAATAAAGAAATAAAAATTATTTTAATTTACATAATTTAATAAACTTTAACAATTGGCGTTTCATTTTGAAAAATTTTGTATGACCTTGATCTCACAGCAGATCCTGGATGACCTGCGAAAAATGGTGTTTGGCGGTGAGGAAGAATTTGCTGCTTAAAATCTTATCAAATCTAAAAAGAAATTATTATAATAACATAATATAAGCAATGTTCGAGGAACCGCCAAGGCTTCCCAAAAAAAATTAGTTTTGTTAATGAAAAAAATTGCAGTTCAGAGTTTTAGAGAGGTAGGAAGGTAGGTGGATAGGTAGAGTCGAACTTATTGTGAAACCACCAGGAATAAAATCCCTTCACTCTATTAAGTCTTCTCTGAAACACGCTGTGCCCCTGATGAAGTTCATCTATACCAAAAATTGTATTTTTTCATCTAGAAACCCTCGACCGATAGTTGGAATACTTTGCCTATACAAAGTCTTGCATTAGCATAGAAGATCTTCTATATTCTCTTATTGTTCAACCTCCTGACAGCTTCTGTAATATGTACAGTGTTCCCAGTCTGCTGGCATGTCGGCCGGACAGTAACCTATAAGCACTCCATTTAGAGTTCTTATGGCATTATTTTCGAATTTTATTGAACGGTATGTGCGGCCCATATTCCATTTATAATATGCCACGTTTACATGTTTGTTAAGCTAGTTAGGGATTGACTCCACCGAGCCGCAGCCAAGTAGCCAGAGGCACATAAATTCCCTCTTTTTCGTTTCTAGTTGCAGGGTGGTGCCTGCTCTAGCTAGTTCATCTGCTTGACTATTACTAAGAATATCACTATGTCCTGGAGCTTATTGCAGATTCACCATGAAAAAGGAAATTAGATACACTAAGTTTTCAAAGCATTATTTGATCATCTTCGATGAAACTCTAAGGGATTTTAGTGAGCTCAAAGCCGCTTGGCTATCTGTATATATACATAAATATATATATCTTGTTGTAAGCACACTCTTTGGCAGAAAAATAAGGGTTTCTCTAATTGCTGTGATTTGGTGGTTTTTAATTTTTCTAAAAAGACACCACCTCTCACCCGAGAATATTAGTAGTTTAGTGCCATTTGTATAAATACTTATGCTTGTATTCCTGTTCATATCACCCCTATCCCACTCTTCTCTCGTAGGAAAAAGAATAATGGGAACAGAATTTAAATTGACTTCTATAGGATTGCGAAAATCCGTGGTTATGTTCAGAAACATGGATTTGATAAATATCTCAGAACTTGTTACAGCCGACTAATAAAGAGCTTTCCCTTAGGATACGAGCTGTATTCGCTATCAGTTGCTTACAGAACCTGAAACTGTATATAAAATATCTTTCAAAGTGGCTTAAAAAATCGAAATTTTTATAAATAATTTTATTTCTTCGACCATTATCTGATAAATAATTCTAAAAACGTTGTGCAAAAATGTAAAATTTATGGATCTAGCCGTTTCGAAGAAATTTCCCTCGTCGACTGTCAAAACAGTGATTCGAGAAAAATTCGTTTAAAGTTTAAAGAGACCCAATTATCCAAAATTAAAAAAACAAATTACAAATACACTCATGTCTGTGTCATGTGTCGGACTAAATACAAGTTTTCGAAATATATTTCACATATACATATACATATGTGTATGTATACAAGTATATGTATATTCAATGTATAAGTAACAAAAATAAATTTTTTTTAATTCAAAAGTAGATATAACGCCTTTAAATACCTAAAATTCTAATAAAATTCTCTATTAATTTAACATGTTTATTCTGTTAAAAATTTAAAAATTGTCTTTACTTTTGCACTCTGTCTTTTAAAATTATATTTTAGCTTTTAATTTACACTTCAATTTTCAGTGAGCCTTTCTCTAACTAAGCAGTGAATATTGAAATGTTTTGTTTGCTGTTTGAGACTGATCCAGCATGTTGTCCTGACATATGATGTCTCCATTGGGGGCATTCACAGAATTTGCATAGACTTGACATATGCCTGTGTGCGTAAATATGTATGGAATGACTTGTATGCAAAATGCTCACAAATATCAACATAAAAGTAAGTATAATGTTTAGAGCGGATGCCGTTAGATGCGTGAACGGCTACAGCAACTAACGGCACACAAATTGAATTGTCCATTAGGGTAAAATAAATATATAAGAGAATTGTATTGTTGTGCTGCAAAGCAAACTAAACAAGCATAAAAAATAATAGCAAACAAACGCAACAACAAAAAAGCGTTAGCAAATAACTTCCACATTCAATTTAGAATATCACTGCTTTGTTATAGTTTTGTTTGTATTTGTACGGGATATAATCTATGCACGTGTGTGTGTTAGCAAGCGAGTGCTGCCAGACTGTGTGTACAGAACGAGCTCTTCAAAAATTCATTGCAACGTAAAGGGAAAAAGTTGATTCAAATTATGCAACACAATCAGTATAACAGTACAATGTGCGGTAGCTGAGGGGATTTCAGTTTTAAATTAACTTTATCCCATTTGAAGGTACTAAATATTACAATAGAAACACGCAAACATTGGCACTTACAGCACTCATACGCCACGGTGCAGCTAAGCAATAGTTAACTCTACAATGTGGGAAACATTAATTATTAAGTGACCGTTATTACAGATAAAGTTGCTATGATTAGTAAATTATTACTCAAAAAAATATTTTCTAATACCATTTATGGACGTGGCTGATAATAAGTCTTATATAAATTACTTTCCAAAATATCATGCATTTTCAGTCCAATATTTTTTTAAATTTGACAGTCAATTTGTCCATCTGGATACAAATGCCGCTTGATTTGAGCAAAAAATAACAAAAGTGATCTCGTCTTCATGCTCATATACAACTAAAACTTAAATAGTTTTAAATTTCTGCAGTTTCTATTGAATAATCGTTAGCTTAAACAGCTTTTCGCATTAAAACTAGCCTTTCTATGCATTATTTTGCAGCTTAAGAAACATTGTTCCCACCCTGCTATAGCACAACTTTAATAGAATCTGCTGTAATATTCAACAATTTTAAATCATACGTTACTCATACGCCATGGCAGACTACAGCGCATTTAAAACGCCCAGACATATCACATTCATATTCATAATTTATTTGTATCGCTTCCTGATTTATAGTTCTTACTACTCGATCAGACGTTTTTATTTGCATTCCTGCTTTATTATTATTTTCTTGTGCGCTTCACTCACATCTACACATACATATACATATAAAGCTTGTAAGCGAGCCCTTGCACGTTGATACGTCTCCTCTTGTATTTGATTCATTTCAAGTTTGTATTGTTAGCACACCCCATGAATTGAGTTTTTCAAGCCAAACACACAAATATTCACACACACACAAATATATGTGTCGTTTCATATGTTGTGTGCCATTTTAAGTACAACAAAAATAACAATAGTTGTAATGAACAATAACAGTGGAGACAATGCAAACAGCCAGGAATAATCACCAGCATATGCTATATGCCAAGCCAGGCACATAAATAAATATGTATATGTATATATATATATATTTATATATAATATATAGAATAGTTTGTGTATATAGCGTAGGCGTACCCTGATTTCGCAACGCTCATTCAGCCGATATATTTCCGTTTTGTCTCTCTGTCTGTCCGTTTGATACACACACATATTGCTGCGTCTATCTGTCAGCTTGTACAGTTGCTCTTCACACCTTGCCACAGCCTTACTTACACCCTATTTATGCTCTTCTACGGCGTGCGGTTGATCTACCAGTCTGAATGTTACGTGTGCTTTGCATTCTTCATACGGCCCGCTCGGGGCATCCACAAAAGCTTCTCATGTTCGTTTGTCTTATGACGACAATGGCTGTTGTTGTTGTGGATATTCGTTACGAGCATTGTTTCACATATCATTTGTAATAAATAAATACGAACATGTGTCGCCGTCAATGTCTGCATGCATATAAATAAATGCTCGCACACAAGTTCATATGGAAATTTATTACACACTCACACACAAGCAAATATCCGTGGGTATGCATTATCAGTAATATCCTGACGGGCTTTAAACTTACAAATGGATAGTTGCTGGCTGCTTACCTCGCCTAGCTGTTTATGTTTTAAGCATTTATTTATATTTATTTATGCATACCATTACACCCACAACTCATCCATATGTTTTAAAGGCACTTCCGGCACGTTTCATACGCTTCTGCTTGTGCTTACGCCCACGCACGGGCAATATAAAAGCTGATGACTACACGTAGTACCACATAAGGGTTTGAGTATGTATAAAGCACCAAGTTTAATCTGAATATGGCATATTTATTTTTGCTGGGGTCCTGCCGCTTATCAACATTTAAATGTAATAAATTTTGTAACGCTCAGCTAAACATATTGATGAGGGATCGTTTGAGCTGCTACGCCAATACTCGGTTGATGGTTAAGGATAGAGCACACGCATAACCATTTACATATGCCTAGAGACCTTGCGTGGAGCTGGCTTGTAGGTGGAAAGGAACCTAATATTGCTTCCAATATCAAACGTGTGAACACACCACTACAATTTCCTGCAGGAGTTTCAGCAAGTTCAATCAACTTTATGAAAGAGTACAGGTATATACGTGTATTTGAATGCTGCTTGCTATTGGAGAGCTTATTTAACGCAGCAATATGCATGCGTAGGTCACATGCGTTGCAAGTAAGCTCGTGTATATTTTTAATAAAATTTTTCACAAAATTATATTTCTGTCTGTAAACAATCACTTAACATTTCTTTAAAAGTCAAATTTAAATACATCTATTTGGTGTGCCAAACTTTGAATATTTGCTGATGGGAA